GTTAACCTAATTATTCTAGTTAAGCCTTTAAATGCTCACTTTAAGCTGTATAGAAGTGTCTTGAAAAATATCTAGTAAAATATTATTTACTGTCATCACGGCAAAGATAAAATAAATCAGTTATTAGAGATGAGTTATTAAAACTATTATGTTTTGAAATGCGTTGAAAAAAAAATCTTCTCTCCGCTAAACAAAAATTGGGAAAAAAATAAACAAGCTGTCTAATAATTCAGGGGGGCTACTAATTCTGACTTCAACTGTACAAAATATATAGAAAAATTTAGAATTTTGTTGAATCTAAGAGACCTCTCAAAAGATAATAACCCAAAAAGTCAAATAATCCATGCATTGAGTTAAAAACTGTCCTTTAAATTTCATTGAAATTTTTAAACCAATGTTGGGTTACAAACAATCCATCATGTTTTAGAGGGATGCATTCAGAAGAGATTTACTTTTACAAAATCTTGCTTTGAAAAAAAATGCTGGGTTGTTTTAACCCAACACTGGGTGAAATATGGACGAAATGGGTGATGGGTGATTTTTGAGTGTGTTAGAATAGAATAATATTAGCATTTATCATATTATCACATTATACATATTATCATTATTCTAATGACTTAATTTTAAATTGATGCATTTAATTTTTATGTTAATGCATCAGTCTAAAATGTGATGGGTTGTTTGTAATCCAACATTGGTTTAAATTTTTCAATGAAATTTAAATGACACCTTTTCACCCGAGTAATTTGACCAAAGTTTGGTTTACAAACAATCTTTTTTGAGTGAACACTTAAATTCAGCAAAATTTGGTATTTTTCAAAACTCGCCAATATTTTTCTAGATTTTATACGTTCACAGAATCATATCTACATCTACAATTGTTTAGTTACAGGTTGTTATCAGGTTGAGTGAGTGACATGAGATCACCCACGTGTGAATTTTCCTTCAGAGAAGCATTATGGAGATGAGATGTGCAGAAGTATTATGTGATTATGTTATGGAGAGGCAAGCACTTGAATGATAACCAACAAGTAAAGGTCTCATGTGTTTAATGATCCTGTCACCTTCCCTACAGAACACCAGCAGCAATAATGCAAAGAGCGTTGACTAAAAAGATTTACCTCATTATTATTATTATTATTATTATTCATTAAATAATTTTTCTTAAGCTTAGTCTATAGTTTATCAGGGGTCATCACAGGGAAATGAACTGCCTATTATTATTATTTTTATTATATTATTATTATTATTATTATCATATTATTATTATTATCATATTATTATTGATAAATGTTTCCTAATACATTTTTAGAAATGAAGATTGAAAAAATGTGTTTTATAATAAATTTGCTTAATATTATTACAATCATATAATAATTATTTTTATAGAATTTTTATTATTTTTAGATATATTTATAATTACAATAAGTCAATCTTATAATCATATAATATAAGTGAAAATGTTTGTATATTTTTGTATTAATTATTAGAATTAAAAAATTATATTCCTTTTTAGATCATTTCATTCACATTTTATAATCTAAGTATTATAATAATTATAACTCACAAATATTTTTATTAATATATCAATAATAGCCTGATAATAATAATAATAATTTTAAAAACATAATAAACAAAAATCTTTTGTTTTGTTTAAAATTATAAATATTATCAAAATATAAATATAGAATCAAAACATTTTAAAATTTTATCCATTTTCATTCAACATATTTTCTATTAATATTGTATTCTGAACATTATTTACATTTTACCAGTCGTCCCACTTGACCTGCAAACACATTAGTTAAAAAAATCTAAGGAATCTTTAACAATAAAAAAATATTTCCTTTCTTTTACCCTGCGCCATTTAGATAGGCTACAAAGTTATTAATTGCGCGTCAAATATATAATAAAGCCGTGTAGACTGTGCTTTGTTTTTTCCTCTTCGTGTGTAGCTCATGTAGTGAAGAACAAAGGTGCGAAACGATTGTCTATGAGCAGATCTTTGATAAAAGTCTCATATACGATGACCGAGAGGAGGGGGCTCTGATTGTATCCCATTCAGTAGCGTGAGAGAGAGAGAGCGCGCTGTCTGGTTTCAATAGATCAAAGAGCACTGCTCCTGAATGGAGTCATTTGCAATTATAAGAATAATTAGCATCTGTGGGTCCTCCATCGCTAATCAGAGTCGGAGGTGATGTGTTTATGTCCTCGCGCAATCAGACGGCCAGTTGGAGAGCGCGCGCCCCGCAGGACTCAATAGCGCCTAATCATCATCAGAAGTGAATTGGCATTTAAACGGTAAAATGATCTCCGATTAAATTAATGCTTAGCAGGGAAAGAGAAACCGCTCAGAGGGTACAATTTTAGACCCCTTTTCTTTTGTTTTTTCTTTTTAGAAAAAAAAATGACATTCTAAACTATTAAAGCAAAGTGCGATTACTTTTGCCTCTTAAAGTCTTTCCTTCTTAATCTTCTGTGTAACTGCTTAACATTGTCAAACTATCCGTTTGATTTTACACCGTGGATGTTTCTCTGAATATCGGTGAAGATACCACATTTGGCCTATACATTTTACACAACAAGTAGTGACTGTAACGAATTTACAAACTATGCTAATCTGTCTAAATATTATAATAACTAAGGGAAAAGTCTCTTTAAAAGGACGTTATCCGGGAGGGAAACCTCAAGCTGTGTCAAGTTTATTAATTCAAAGTTTTACAAATATTAAGCAAAATTAATAATAAAAAAAAGCACACGTTATGGGAGAAACGTCTGGTTAATCATGTCTAGAGATCGGCCATTTTGTCAGTTAGCTAGGCTATAGCCTATATGAGAGATTGTCTAACAAATTTAAACTGTCTTTTCAGGGCGCAAACACAGAAATGTGATGCTGCAGACCAAAGCTTTTCGTCAAACACTTATGCTATGAAAATGTAAAAAATAAAAATAAAAAAACATATATAATGACAGCTTTGCCTACCTGTTTTTCTAGAAGTTCAGTCAGACCCTAACGGAAAGTGCTCGCGCCACCTGCTGTTGCTATGGTTACCCCCTCTGGCGCCATTTCTTTTCTCGAGCTTACACATTTAGCGAACTTGCCTAACTCAAACGTTAGGCTATTTGAAAACGCCTTTGAAGTGTATATTTTACATTTCCACACAAATGTATATAGGCTACTTTAAATTTCTCATTTTAACCTCCCCCTAGTGTTTGTTTTGATGTAGCCTACATCAATCAGGGAGGTTCAAGGCCTCATTAGGGGGCTCGGATCCTCCCATAATTATTCTAGATTAAAATTCATATCCATATAAAAACATTATTATGAAAAATAAAGTTGCTTTAAATACTTTTAAGTAAGAAAATAATAGTCTATAGAAGATTACTTGACGTTTTAACTATGTTAGCAAGCTACTTGAAGACCGTTAGAAAAGCGCTTGCGCCGCCTGCTGTTACTATATTAGGCAATACAGTTGAAGTCAGAATTATTAGCCCCCCTGAATTATTAGCCCCCCTATTGTTTTCTCGATTTCTGTTTAACGGAGAGAAGATTTATTTAACACATTTCTAATAGTTTTAATAACTCATTTCTAATAACTTAATTATTTTATCTTAGCCGTGATGACAATAATTAATATTTTACTAGATATTTTTCAAGAGACTTCTATACAACTTAAGGTGACATTTAAGGCTAAGTTAATTAGGTAGGCAGGTTAGGGTAATTAGGAAAGTTATTGTATAATAATGATTTGTTCTGTAGACTATCGAAAAAAATAGCTTAAAGGGGTTAATAATTTTGCCCTTAAAATTGGTCATAAAATTAAGAACTTTTATTATAGCCAAATAATACAAATAAGAGTTTCTTCAGAAGAAAAATATTATCAGACATACTGTAAAAAATTCCTTGCTCTTTTAAGCATCATTTGGGAAATTATTTATTTATTTATTTATTTTTTATCAAAGGGGGCTGATAATTCTGACTTTAACTTACATTCTGGAGCTGCATATACATTTTAAGAAACCTTTCTAACTTTTGTAATAGCCTAAACTTTATATCCCTTTTGAAATGCATTTGCCTATTTTAGATTTCCACACAAATGTATTTTACATTTCCCACTTTTTTTTTTACCTTCTCCAACTGTTTGTTTTGACGCTTTAGGGAGGTTCAGAAGCTAATGAGGGGGGTCAGAACCTCCCAAAATTCACACCCTGCTGGTGACTCAAAATTCATGATGTTTTTAGCTAACAAAAAGTAAGACTAAAATGTATGCTATGTTAAAGACTACAATAATTTAACTACACCTATAGCGTACAAATGTTCAAATATGCCGATTTTCTTTTTTTGTTTTTATTATCATCTCGAATCCATCTAAATATAATCAGATATTTATATCCAAATCTTAATTCTCCCCTATTTTATAAGCGGAGTTCACACAGATCTCCGCATTCAAACGTCATTTCATCAGTAAAATTTCTCTCTTGGGGATAATTGTCGGCCAGATTCACTCTTTCTCCCCGCAGAATAGAAAAGACTCTCTCTCACAAGAGGGCCGAAACATCTGCCTCTCCGCCCTCACGACTCCGATGCCATCGGCCTCTGAAAGAATCAACAAAAGAACCGTTGTTATATATCTTCCCTTGAATACAAAGTAATTACTTATCATCAATCAAAATTAATAATAGTTGATTGGGTTGGTGTGGTCAGCGGAGTCCCCTCACATTCGCTTTCCAGAGGAGGGGACTTGACCCACTGGGAAACTACCCCCCCTCTCTCTAGGCGGCCTAAAAAGTCAGGGACTGAATAAGGAAATGAAGCGTAATTTGAGGAAGATGGATGAGTCTCCAGGGCAACTCCCCCTTCTATCCTCTTGTATTGATGATAACTGAGAGAAAGAGAGAGAGAGAGGGCGAGAGCGCGCGCGAGAGAGAGTGAGAGAGGGGTGTGTGTATGTGTGTGTTTATGTCTCAGTATGTGACAAATAGAGGCTGAGACAGGGAGAGCTCCAGACAAAAAACGCATCAGGTCTCAGTCAGTTGGACGGCGAGGACCCTACAGCAGCGCCAGGATAACCGTGGACACACATTTGGGTGATTTGAAGGCCAGTACAGCACGGGATTTATACGACCAGACCGCGCTCAGTTCACCATGCAGAGACCGAGCGGTACGGGCACGGCGTTTTCCATTGATTCTTTGATTGGCACTCCACAGCCACGACCGGGCCACCTGCTCTACACGGGCTACCCGATGTTTATGCCGTACCGACCGCTTATGATTCCACAAGCCCTGTCTCATTCGTCATTACCGTCAGGGATCCCACCTTTGGCACCGCTGGCATCTTTCGCAGGGCGTCTGACCAACACTTTTTGCGCGGGGTTAGGACAGGGAATGCCCTCCATGGTGGCGCTCACCACCACCCTGCCTAGTTTCTCGGACCCTCCAGATAGTTTCTACCCCCCGCAGGAGATGCCGGGACCCCGGTTAGGCGCAGACGGGACGGGGATGAACCGGCAAGAGAGCCCGCATGACGAACTCAAAGGCTCCGAACTCCTCAATTTCACGGAAACTTTTCAAGCAGTTGCAGGTGAGCACCGGAGACCAACTCTCTCGCTGACAGGTGGTTTAATTAGGAGCGCAAACAGTTCAACAGCATTTTCCAAAAAAAGTTCTAATTAGAACTCCAAAGAACTTTAAATAGAACTCAAAAGAATGTTTTACAGTCTCAAAGTTCCACAACAAACTTTTATTCTGTAATTGTTTTAGGTAGGCTAACTGGTTTACTGGTGAGTTAGATAGCTAATAAAGTAATTTGTAACCTGAATATAACTTTTTACATCAAAACCCAAAAGTAAAGTGTTTTAAATTAAATAATAATTTCTCAAAAAGAAATACAAATCGTATAAACTTAAAAAATAAAAACGTTATAGGACTAGGCCTACAATATGGGTTAAATAAAAGTTAAAAGATTGTTGCCGTCAGAAATATGAAGAAACTTCATAAAATGTTTTTTTAATATATTTACAATGTAAATGAAAGTCGGGTTTGAAGCACTGTTTTTGCATGAAATGTTTAAAAAAAAGCCGCTTTTTATGCACAGGATTAACAGAATGTTTTTTTATATAAAATATATTTAGGAACCTCATAAATATGTAAAAAGGAAAAAAAAACATTGTCAATTGCTAATCATGTGGCACAGGCCTCGGCTCCTGTCACAAGGGAGTTTAAAATTAATTATACGCCCCAGACTACAGTTGTTGCAAAATGATTCTAAATATGTTCAGTAAATTGTTTTTTTAAAGTTGAAATTAAAGGAGACTGAATCGGAAAATGGTACGAACAAATTAATTACAATTAGGCTACTTAATATGTAATGTTGCAGCACTCTTTAAATTGTTATAAAAATCTTGTTATTATTGTCATTTCTACTCAGGCTTTTACACACATTTCGTAAACATTCCTCATCAAAAAAAAAGTGAAACGCATTTCTGGCCCCGCTTTAAAAAAAGAAAAATACAGTTATACGCAAGTTCATAGATTTCAGTGTTTTTGATACATTTATTAACTATTGTCAACATGTGAAGTGTCAAATAGAGTAGAATAATTCAAAGCAGCTGATTAGAAATTTAATTTTGGCTTTTTTTTAAAGCACATTAGATAATTTGCTAATTATTTATTTTCTATTTAATTCACTTTTCTTGACCATTTCGAAGCTGTCAAAAATTACTTTTGACTTCTGCTCGACCCCATTTAATTTAATAGCCTACATAAAAGTAATTTTTAGGGAGCTGAAATATTTCACAGAAATGTAGCCTACATGGTAGCTATTTCCCAGAGCTTAATATCTTACTTTTCATTCTTCTCAGGCGAAACCAAACTCTACAGTTCAGATGACGAGAAACTGGACCTGAAAGCAGCGGAGGCCGCGTGCAGTGACCGGGAGGACAGCTCGGCCGACAGCGAGAACGAAAGCTTCTCCGACGGAAACACCTGCGCCTCTGCGTCCCAGAAAGGCAAACTGAAAGGCGGCTCACAGGACGCGTTACCGCCGGGCGGCTCTGCGGGAAAGAGCCGCAGGAGACGGACAGCTTTCACGAGCGAGCAGCTGCTGGAACTCGAGAAGGAGTTTCACTGTAAGAAGTATCTGTCCCTCACCGAGCGCTCGCAGATCGCGCATGCGCTCAAACTCAGCGAGGTCCAGGTCAAAATCTGGTTCCAGAACCGCAGGGCCAAATGGAAACGGATCAAAGCCGGAAATGTCAACAACAGATCAGGCGAGCCCGTCCGGAACCCCAAAATCGTGGTGCCCATTCCAGTGCACGTCAACAGGTTCGCGGTGCGGAGTCAACATCAACAGATCGAACCGGGCAGCAGGCCATGAATGAACTCCTCAATATAAATGACTCCTCAAGTGAACATTTACTTGACCTCGTTTCACTGGTCAGGGGCCACAGATGCATGAAGCACAGCTCAAAGGAGACAATTAGGATACTTCTTTAGGTAACAATAAAATACACGAGGCCTACTTAATGCTTAACGGATTATCTGTTTATATTTATTCGATTCTAAATAACATATATATATATATATCAAAGTTTATAATATTTGAATGTATATTAACATGTAACCTGTTAAGCATTTACACATGGACGTTATTTGAAAGTGTTACCGACTTTTATATCTGTTCATTTCGACATTGCTTTCAGGTTTGTTCAAATTCCTTTATTTTTAATTTATTATTTTGTACATTTTGTAAATATGAAATGTGTCCGCGCGACACACATGTGCACTATACGAGACTGTAAAGAGACTTTTTAAAAGAATAATAAGTATTTATAAGTTGCTGTCTAGTGAATTTTTGCATGTGTTTTGCCATTTGTTGTCTGATTTCCCCGTGTTGTTTTAACGGGCCGTTCTCGTTGTTTCGACCTTTTTTGCATGTGCTCTTAAAGCATTTCTGTCCCTCAGAGGCGGAATCTCCCCCAGTTCTTTGTGGAAAAAACGGTGATGGAAATAAATAAGCTGAAGAACACAATGGCAGACTGATATATTCCAATCGACCTCACAATAAATATGGTGCAATATGTTTGCATAAAACTGTTCAGGGGAGACGATTTGTTCATTGCATATATGTTTTTTTTTGTTTCAGTCGAAATAATTATTGATCAACTCAATTTATAGTCTATTTGATATAACACATATTTTGAAGCATAAGGTGACTATTATTTGACGAATTGCCTATTTATTCATTTGTATGTTTTATTAAATATCAAATAATATAAATGGCATGCAACAATTGAACTATTAATTACATAATACTAATAATTATAACAATAATTACATATGTGGGTATGGAAAATGCAACATTGCTTGTTTTTTATATAATTTTTATATACATTTTCCACTGTTGAATGTTTTGCATAAGCAGTTTCTGGAAATATTAATCTTGCATTATCTACAGTATATTATATTTATTGTTTTAGTTTTACTGGATAAAATAGTTAGGCATTATTTAAAGCTGTGTTTGCTCCTTTAGACATCCAGCAGATTGACTCTGTTTGATGTGTTTTGAGCAGGTAATAGAGCACATCTGTCATCAATGTCAACAGACCAAGGGGTAAAATCTTTGACTTAAAGATGAACATAATCTATTTTAATGCTAATTGTCCTAAAGGAGCATTGCGAAGCTTGAGTTTTTTAGCATCTTTCTTTTAAAGCAGCATTGTTGCTCTGACTAATTTCATTTATTACTTTTTTGTTTCCCTTAAACTCTGATATCCAAAGTATTAATTTAACATAGAATTACACCGATATTCAGTTTTGATGACTTTGACATGAAACATTAACTTCACCATTTAGCTCTGGCAAAAAATAAATGAATAAATATACAAACTAATTGATTTAGTGAAAAGTGTTATTTATCCACACTGTAAAAAGCAATTGGTTCAATTTGAAAAATGTATTAAACACGGCTTTAAAACTATTAGGTAAATAATCTATGCGCAAAATTATAAAAATTAAGTTAGGTTAACTTAAAAGTTGGAAGTTGGAACAGAAATACTTTAAATTTTTGTAAGTTAAATCAACTTGCACTTTTAGTGCAATGGGGTTACTCGCTTTAAGTAATTGCTTTTTACAGTGCAAACCACTCTGAAAAAAGATTCAAAGATGATTCCTTAGATTTAAAATAATAATAATAATAATTAGGTGCTTGTAAACAATTTATTTGGGCTGAAATTAAATAGGCAAATTAAGTTTAACATTACCAAATTAAATTTATTTGTTTAAATTAAACACATATAAATTGTTTGCAACTACTTTGCATACATATTTTTTTCAGTGCATAAGACGGCAGTCAGATTCTCAGCAGTTAACAAATAACCTTCATGCTACAAAATATTTTCAAAAATGTTTTTAGTTGCATTCTAGCTCTGCTGACTTTGAAGTCTCATCATTTCGTTATTCCTTGAGAAGATCTTGTAAAATCAGAAGTGGATTTGAAAGTGAAATATTTTCACATACACTCTCAAAAATACACTGAAAAAATCACTTTTGTTGCTTGTTCAAACTACTTATTTAAAATGAGTTAAGATAACACAATTCTTAGGTTTTTTTGGGGACAACTTGATTGTTTTATGTTCAATCCATTTAAATTTGTAAAAACAATCAGGTTATCTTAATCGATTTGTGTTGGGACAACATGAAAAAATTCTGTGGAACCCAGCATTTCTTACAGTGTATATTTGCTGCTTGTTCAAACTACTTATTTAAAATGAGCTGAATCAACACAAATCTTGAGATATTTTTGGACAACTTAATTGTTTTATGTTCAGTCTACTTAAATTTGTAAAAAAACAATTAAGTCAACTTAATCGATATGTGTTGGAACAACATGAAATAATTAAGTTAACTTATTAGTTTTTTTACACATTTAAGTGGATTGAACCTAAAACATTTAAGTCGTACCAAAAAACTGAAGAATTGTGTTGAATCAGCTCGTTTTAAATCAGTCGTTTGTACAAATATCAAACATATTTGTTTTGAGTGTGTGTAGAACTGACCGACATTGACCTAAGGTATTAGAAAACAATGCTTTGACTTGATGATGACCAGAACTGATCATCTAAAGAGAGAGAGAGAGAGAGTGTGTGTGTGTGTGTGTGTGTGTGAGGTTTTTGTTAATGAACACAGGACTCATTTGTCTCTCTTTGGGAGGCCGTTCTGTCTCAGATGAGAGTGATGAAGCTCTATTACACTGGTCAAATCCAACACACTGTAATGAACTTCAGCATCAATCATTACAGGAGAGAGCGAAAGACCACAGTGGGTCTCTCTCTCTCTCTCTCTCTCTCTCTCTCTCTCTCTCTCTCTCTCTCTCTCTCCTTCTCTCTCTTTCCCTCTATGTTTTCAATGGTTAAGCCTCATTCATTTACTACAGTCTTACACCAATGATTGTGATGCTGGAAAACTGCTTTGAATGAAAGTTAATTATTTATTCATTTAACAGATGCTTTTACACCAAAGCGATTTACACTGCATTGAAGATACATTTTTTTCCTCTCTCAGGTCGATTTATTGTAGATTTAACTGAATTAAATAACTAACTCTTTATCACATTATAGTATGCCATGTTAACGATCCAACATTTTCCCCATGTGTGTGTGTGTGTGTGTGTGTGTGTGTGTGTGTGTGTGTGTGTGTGTGTGTGTGTGTTTGTTCAGTGTCACACTTAGATTTTATATTAAGAAGCTCAACTATATTAATTTGAATGGTGATGTACAAAAACCATCCTATTATGGTTTTACGTCAAGAGATTTATCAGTATATTTTCTGTTTCATTTATGGATGTTTTTATAGATAGCACAATATCACACAATGTATAATATAAAAAAAAAACAATTGCTTCATTTTACATCTATTTTTACAGTTCTGGCCCTAATTAGCCTGTGTTTTACTAAAGGATATTTGTAAATGCAGATAAAATTAAACCGTTGTAACTGAATATGTTTAATAACGCCATGAAAATTTTTTTACAGATATATAAAACTGTAGGTTTTAGGCTAGTTTAAGCTGGTATCACTAAACTCATGTAAAAGAAATGTAAGAAAAACAAAGCATCTAAGGCTATGTTTGAAGCTTGTAAAAATCTAGACTTATAAACAGCAAGTTTTTCATTTCATGCCATATTATCATTTCTATTTAAATTTCTGTTTTCTTTATGGAATACAGGAGTCAGACCTTGAAATAAAGGTATGGTTGGCACAGTGGTAACCCTACAGTGTAAAACCCAAAATGTTAAGGTAACTCAAACCATTTGAGGAAACCGATTGCAACAAACCATTTAAGTTAAAAAACTAATCATAATGAGTGTGAACTTAATCCATTTGAATAAACAAAGCAATTTAAGCAAAGTAAAACCCAATAAATGAAGAGAACTCAAGCCAACTGAGTACTGTAAAACCCAATAAGTTAGGTCAACTCAAACCGTTTGACAAAACAGATTGCAACAAAGCATTTGAGTTAAAAAGCTAACCTATAGTACTGTGAATTTACACCATTTAAGTTAAAGTATCGGGCGAGGCAGTGGCGCAGTAGGTAGTGCTATCACCTCACAGCAAGAAGGTTGCTGGGTCGCTGGTTCGATCCTCGGCTCAGTTGGCGTTTCTGTGTGGAGTTTGCATGTTCTCCCTGCATTCGCGTGGGTTTCCTCCGCGTGCTCCGGTTTCCCCCACAGTCCAAAGACATGCGGTACAGGTGAATTGTGTAGGCTAAATTGTCTGTAGTGTATGAGTGTTTGTGTGGATGTTTCCCAGAGATGGGATGCAGCTGGAAGGGCATCCGCTGCGTAAAAACTTGCTGGATAAGTTAGCGATTCATTCCGCTGTGGCGACCCTGAATTAATAAAGGGACTAAGCCGACAAGAAAATGAATGAATGAATGAAGTTGAAGTATGAAGCATTTAATTAACTCATTACCTTCAACACTGAGTTCTAAACTCTTTTCAAATGAGTAGAATTAACTTTTAGTCAATTTTAAGTTAACAACACTCATTTCATTTGATAAAGTTGACTGTTGGGATTTACAGTGTAGCAACAGGTAGTTGTCTTAAAGTCCACATGAAATCAAAATTTTTGAGGTTTTTGATGTATTTTACTAGCGCACATTGTTGTTATTTAGGTGAACGATTAATCTGTGCAAGTTAATCTGCTGAAAAAATAATTTTGTTTTAAAAATCTGAGCATTTGCTTCCGCTGTCCTGCTCTGAGGATGTTAGTTTGACGGCTGCAGCCATGACATTCTTACAGCCCGTTCACACTGGGCGTCAGCGTCAACGCTTCCCATTCACTTTAAATGGGTGACGTCAGGCGTTGCCAAACTGCATTGTGGATCCGTCGGTGCTGCTTCAGAGGCATTGCTAGCAGCAGAAGTTGGGACTAGCCAAACTGTTCAAGCGCCGACGGAAGCGTCAGCCAATCAGATCACTGTATGCAAATACACCTGCTAGACAGTGGCCTATTGCTGACTGAATTTTATTGGCTGATGCTGCTATGATGATCGCTTTAGCCCCAACTTCAGTCAAGCGTTGACTGAAGCCCCATGTGAATGGGGTGTTAACCACGCCCCTTTTACTGTTAGTTTGCTATGAGAGAATGATGAGCATTAAAAAAGCCCCGCCCCCTACTCAATATTTTGTTTCACTCAACTTAACCAGACTTTAAATTCTAATTATAACTATATTTTAAGAATTGTTTTGTTTATGCGTGTCTATAGAGCATCACAAACAGACAGGACTGACAACTGTATGTTATTTCTGTGTGTAGTGATTACTAAAGAATTTAACAGATACTTTGATTGGATATAAAAATGATAATAATTTTTAAAAAATCAGTTCGTGTATCACTTGAAAAAAAAATCTAAACATGATTTTTATATAGCAAAGCTCCATGATATGGAAGACCATTGTGGCTAAAAGTCTTGGAAGTTGTGTGAACATGTCAACAAGCAACAGCCAATGAAATTGCTTTATTTGAGACTAGATTATTATGTATGATCAATAGACAACAAAAGGTTATACAGGCTATGGCCCAATACCAATTCTATTCTTGTA